GATATTTCGTTATAGTTTTGTAATTTATACCAGCTGGCATTTTTAAGAAGATTTCTGGGCTTTGAAAAATATCCGAACCGCTCGGATCGACTGTGTATGTAAACTTAGCTTAGCTCTGAATCACTTGACTTTGATTACAACACTGAAAAAAAGTTAAATTGTTTTAGTGGATAATTTTTGCATTTTCAAATTAGCAGCAAAGGACTCGTCCACGTAACCGATGTGCTAAAGTATTTATGTTTCCCGCCGTGGACGACGGTCCCGTCCCAGGCTTAAATCGGTCATATACGTCGTCGTCCACGTTCTCGTCGTCAGTGCTAAAGGTCCCTAATTACAGCAAAGAGATCTCGCTTTTTGTACTGGAAATATAAAAAAGTTATCCCCTAATTTATTTCCGAATGAAAAAGGATACTCACCAAAGCATATACGCAAAGCATATATACCCAAAGGATATAAGCATAATCAGATAAAGTTTATGAGCCACCAAAAGTCGATGTCTGGGCAAAATGTTAGATTATTTACTTGTAGTCTATATGTGTCAAACCAAAAGTGGAAATTAAACTAAGGATGACCCAACAGTGATATAAATTATATGGATTTGGACCTAGTAAACGTTACTCCTATCTATTGTCAGCATACACCTTAAGACAGCCCCATGTTATAGGAGACCACAAACACTTTAAAAAGAAAAAGGTACCGGTGGATTGCGTAAAAGTGGTTGCAGACTCAGACTAGCTACTCGCCTTAAAGTAAGGTTGTCCATGTCCAGTATACAGTAAACTGTATCAGGAACGAATAATCCCGGATTGTTCACCGGATAAGTAGACGCCTTTCCATCGTGGAATGTCACTTTGTTGCTTAAATTCCATCCCCACGATTCTGAGTTGGATCCAATCAGTGGCAGGTAACCAAGGCACTGAAGGGGGGCCTGGGGGTGAGCGATTCCGATAACCGCGTAGCAGCCTCGTTCGTCCCGTTCCCACGTTATTTCCCACACGTGTCGACCTTCTCTGTATCCTTTCTTTCCTGTCAGAATGGAATTTTTTCAATGGATATTTCATAGCAATTGTGGCGAAGTTTTCAGACTTTAACCAGGAAGCCTATTTTTGCATGTTTGTTTTCTCTTCAGTTTTGTTTCCTTTTGCTTGGTTTTGTTTTCTTGTGTTTGCTGTCTTTTATTCTAAGCAAGACAGTTTTAACCTGGTTTTAATCTCATGGAATCAGAACATTTTGAAACTTTTTCCTTGGACATCAAGTCAGGAATCATACCATAAAGTCAGTAGATTTGACACGACACGTTAATTTAAAATTAGAAACTAATTTCAACAAAATATAACATTGTAAACGTTTAGATTATGAGTACCTCTTATGCCATCTGTGGTGAGAGGTGAGGGAAGTCTTCTAGCTGTCAACCTGTCACTCAAAACTCGGAACCTCGGTGAGCAGTCTTCGGGGTCCCACGCATGCTCAATCTGTTCGGATGGCACCGATGATTCTTCAGCTATTTCACGAAGAGCATCAAGAACAGCGCGCTCAAACAGGGAGTCAATGGGACTTCCTTGCGTACGCCTCTGACTAAGAGGTATAGAATGTTCGGCACCCATTTCTAGAAAGCAAAAGGCTGAGTGAAATAAATACCACACAAAAAAAACTGATCTACTTTATCCACAATGATCCTCTTTTACAACTTGGCAACTGAAGAATAATACCAATGAATTATTAAAATTTGGGGGAAGAACGTTCATATGAAAATCTTACTTAAATTCCTTTAAACCAGGTAGCATTATTTTCGCGGGAGATTCCAAACGAGTGACCTCGCTAGTGTAACTTTTTATATATACCTCCCAAAACTGAGATCGCCCGAGACGACAACCGCTTGATAAACAGCAAAGACAACACTAGGGGGAACGCAAACCTTAGCACCTATCTTGGGTACCAAACACAAATGACGCGAATTAAAGTGCAACATAGAAGAGCAACTTTCCCATAAAACACACGTAAAACAAAAGAAGATTAACTTGAAATGCAATGTGTTCTGACTTGAATCAAACCCTGCAGTGTATTCTCAAATCTTCTTTCTGACCAATCGGCAGGTATGGACGCTACTAAGCAGCTGTGAATTGTAGAAGATGTGGCAATGATTTCAACGTTGTATTTTTTTCAAAACTGGTCGTGTTGTTTGTCATTATGTCATTGTCCCATCAAATTTGCTTCACACTCTTTAAAATACAACAATCCAGAATACTAGAAAAAAATCATCAATAGCTGCTGGATTGGCTTTCCTATTAAATAAATGGTGGAATTTAAGTCTCTGTTAGTGAACAGAAGTGCTTTGACACAGAACGGCTGCGACACAAAAAATAAAAATTCTAAACTTTTCAGTCGCATCAAATCGAAGACATCGAAAGCCTATCACGCCAATCATGGCAACCTGGAATAGCTCAGAATAAGACGCAAGTTAAGGTAAGATTTAACCAATAATGATACAGCGTAAGAATAGCTAAGGATAAAGGAAACACTTAGCCCGTGGCGTCGACTATTTCATTACCATCCGCTCAGTTCGTCGGAAAGACTGTAAAGCTTCGCTTAGTTATTCGCCAAGAAGACTCCATACCACAAGAAGACTTTGTTTAATTCAATTCGATATTCGACACTCTGAATCGAATCAACTTTTTCTATTGATCAGTAGTTCGGCGATGTTCTAAAGACAGGCCAGTATTTCTCGACAAAAATTTCGCCAACACAGAAAAATTAGCGTGTGATCCTGTAAAGTGCGCGACTAAGCTGTTCAAGATGAAATATAATTACTGTTTACCTACATCCGATTTTTCCGAGAAAGCCAAATTCTCAGAAGTTTTTTTTTCTTTTTTTTACAATCGTTTTAATTATATTCCGTATCCTTATTTGAGAATTGTCCTTTCATTTTCCTTTCCCGACTGCTTGTGTCGAGATTTAGATCTAAGTTCATTC